GGCAGCTTCCAGGCGGCTTTAGAGCCGTGTGTATGAAAACGTCCACAGCTTGGAAAAATTAGGTTGGTTTGATATTACAACTCCCAGAATCTTCAAAGTAACTATTATAGTGCCAAAAAAAAAATCCTAAACTTTCCAAGCTTTGGTTAGAGGAAACTGCAGAAGTAGTGGTGGAAAACTACTAATCAAATAAAAGCATGTACATCTAACCTACCACACAATGCAGGGTGTTTTTTTTTTTTGGTTTTGTTTTATTTATTTATTTATTTATTTTGAAAATTTGAAAACAACAACTGCATCCTTAGGTCCATACATACTGAATTCTACAATTAGGTATACCAACAGGCCAAAATTTTGAGCGCATTGTTACATTTTAGAGTATATTTTTATATCCAATCCACCCACCCCAAAACCAGATCTAATCCTGCAATTAGAAAATACTAGGAATGTCACTTGTTTTCATATAATTCTATTAGGAGAATTATCTAACAAATACAGTAGGAGTTATTCATTCAGGCCAAGGACAAAAATTATCAGATGTTTAAACTTCAACTTACAAGAAGAATTTTTTCATTATATCTTGAATATTGCTCAAGTCAGAAGATGATGATCTAAGGACAATTGCTATAACATATTAAACCAAAAGAACTTTGCAGTGTGCAGCAATTGTCCTTATATCATCATTAGGTGTTGGAGGTGATTTTTATGGTGGGGGGGGAAAGAAGTGATTTGATTTTGTAGTACCCAAATATATTATTTCTTTTGTAAAACAGGGGAGGAGAAAAAAGGGATATTTTGGCAGGGAATTAGCAGCATTAGAGGTTCACATTATGCCTAGGACTTCAATAAATATTAACATGGCAGCAAGCACTGTATTCAAAGAGAAAGCTTCCAGTAATTTATAATCTCTCTTGCACTCCTGAAGAACTGGCCAGCATTTTAAAATACAGCTCCATCCATACAATTCCACTTTAGGACTTCATAAAAACATTGAATGATAACAATCGTAAAAAAAAAGTGAAAACATATATTATAGACCCATAATAGGAGGTTTAGGTCTCTGTTTCACTTGGAACTGAGGTGAAGCTATAAATTAGAGAGGCATGCTCCAGAAGACTATCTCCTTGCCAGATTTCACTTTATATAACTAGAATAAATAACTGTTTAGACAGGAAACAGGACAGAACTGTTTACTTATTTCAGGAGGAAATGGATGGCACAGAATAGAGCTATAGAAACAAAATCTCCTATTTCTTAACTGGATTTTTTAAAGGCATGTATATTCACACTGTGATGTGGTAGAGGTTCTAGAAGTGCCAAAGCATCTCTATAATGTTCTTTTGGAAAGAAAATAAGCTTGAATATAGAAAACTACCGTGAGCTGTCTTGAGTCCCATTTTAGGGAAAAGGGTGGGATACAAATTATTTTAAAAAACGAATTGAATTGAATTACCTAAGCTCTGAAGGTCTCTTACTTTCCACCTAGAGCAGGGGTGGGCAAAGTTTGCCCCAAAGGACTAGTTTTATTACCTCCCCCTGCGTTCAATAGTTTTTTGTTGTTCATTTGCTGGCTGGCTGGCTGGCTTCAAAATGCCCTCTAGGGGCATGGCAAGGATTGCCACCAATTTAGGTTGGGGTAAAATAAATAAATAAATAAATAAATAAATAAAATTGCTCCAAAATGTCCAAGAGTGGGTATGGGACATTACCACTACATTTTGGGAGAACCTGGGCCAATTTAGGCCCATGAGAAGTGTTTTTGAAACAGGAAATGAACAGGAAGTGACTTCATGGTGAAAATGCCCCCTAGAGGACATTTGGGGGGCAAAGAACCTTTTTTGGTAGGCGCTGGTATGGTGGATGGTGTGCATATTTGTGTGTATGGGGGGGAGCGCACACACTTGTGCTTTCAAGTTACCTGTCCACTTATGACAACCCAATGGATTTCATGGGCTTTCTTAGGCAACATATACTCAGCAGTAGTTTTGCCAGTTCTTTCCTCAAATATAAGCACCTGCTCTTTGTTGGTGATCTTCCATCTAAATACTAACCAGGTTTTACCCTCATTAGCTTCCAAGATCAGACAAGATTTATGAGGATGTAGCCCCCAAATTCTTCTGAAGGACTAATGTGCCTCCCTGACACCTTCCAAAGTTGTCAAACTCTGATTTAAAATGTTCAAAATTCAGGTAAAATCCATAAAATGCCTCTTAATATGTCACTGGAGAACATGAATGGGAGGGTACTAAAATGCATCCTACCTGTTGGATTCTGATTTGGCCACTCTGAAAACAAAGTGCTAGAAGACTAA